GGCCACAAAGAGTTATGGTGATTTGTGTGGCCCTGCCAGGGGCAGTATTTGTTTCCAGTTTGACACCTTCCAGCCTGGGCTGCAAGGGCTTGCCCAAGAGCAGCTTCAATTTATCACTTCTTTACAAATCCAATCTCCCTATTCAAAGCCAGGATTTAGCAGAACAATGGCTTTAATTTAACCCTGTCCAGTTCAGATGTGATGTTTGTGTGGGTGAATCCTGTAAGTCTGAACTGTGAAGAATAAATGGGAGGGCATGGCCGAAGTGTTAATATTCACAGCTGCCTCATGGCAGCAAGAAGATGCAGAAAGAGTGCACAGGATGGAAGAGCACTTGGGCACAAGGTACCTCAAAGGTGCTGGTTTCTGGTTAGTGCACACCCCTCCAGACACAGGGTGCTTATGTTACCTCTGCATGGCCTTCTGCAAGCATACCAACTTGCTCTGCCCCATCCTCTGATCAGGCCGGATGAGAACTGACTCTAACCTAAAAACTGTGTAGCTGTGGTTAGCCTGCTGTGCTGCTTGAGTATCTAAGCCCAGTTCTCAAGCTTTGCTTGTGAAAAGCTGTGGAGATATAGAAAGCTGTGAAGAAAGCTGTGCATAAGCTCTGTTATTGGAGCAAACGCACCTCACTCCTCTGCTGTGCACCAGGAATGCACATGAGATATGAAGAGCTCTTTGTTCAGCTCAGAATAAAAGAAGTGAAGAAAGATTGAGATGGCCTCAAAACTCAGCCATAGTCTAGATATCCACACCCAGTACAGATCATGGTCACAGATTAACCCCAAATACCAAATCTTGAAGTATATAAACCCTTCTTACTCAGCCTCCATCTCAGTGGGTCAATACCAGTTCATGGCAATGACATGAGAAAAAGATTTTAATCTTCTACTGCTTGCAGCTGACATTAATTAATAATGAAAGAGTGCTGCTGTGCCTCACTGCTGAACTCGGGTATGTCCCTCTTCTTCCTCCCACTCACTCTGCAGCAATAAAACCAAACCTGGGAAAAGTTCTGAGGAGCACGACACCAAACCACGGCTGTTTTTGAAGGGGGAAAAGTTGATTGTGTCTTAGAAAAAAACACAGAACTGGTGTAAGAGTTGGAGGGAAGGTGTGTTGTCACTGTGTGGATGTTTCTGAGACAGGAGAACTCTCAGGAGTTGATATCTGCTGAAAAATTATAGTCTCATGTTCTAACCCTAACACACTGATTGTAGCCCTGCCCTGGCAAGCAATGAATATATGTTCCCTGACATTGAGTTGGGTAGGGTTTTTGAGTAACTTAAAAAGACTTCATGGATACATATAACTCCGCCTCACTGCTCAAATCTCCAGCTCAACAATCAGTAAGGTGGCAAAACCACAGCAGAACACAGACAAAGTGAGCACAGGGCTATTCACTCAGAGAAACTCTTGTCATTTCATGCCATGCTTTGGTTTTTCTCTTCTTGACAGCTTGTGATTTATTAAAATACTTTGCCTCTTAGTAGTGATTCCTGATCTTTGATTTCTGTGTACTGAAGTATTAGCAACCAGGCGGCACTTTTGTACGACTACTCCTGCTTTGTACACTATGATCATTGCAGGAAGCAGAGACGTTTCTTTCGTGGGCTGCTTCTTTGGTTCAGCATGCAGGAACTTATCCTCTTGCTGATGCAGGCTGGCAGCTCTAACAGAAATTAATTATGAGATGGGATTTGTGAAGCAAGTGCATAAATACTTTGGAGCCACAGCGAAACGGGCAGCAGAGCCGCTTAGCCTGCCCTTGCCCAAGCTCTGGCGAGAGGAGCGGGCTGGGAGCGCTCAGCCTGCGCCCAGCAGAGGCCAGCACACGCGCGGGGTTCGGCGGGATGTGCTCGCAGGGCGCAGCGTCCCTCCTGTCCGCCCTTCCCCGGCTGGAAAGGCCTCTCAGCCTCCTGTGAGCCCTCGTTTATCTACTGCTTTGAGAGAGGTTTTCAGTGAGGAGCTCCTTAGCACAGCAGAAAGGCGCTGGCATTCTACTGGGGCGGGGACAGGCTTCCACAGGCCCGGGCATCACCCGGTTTATCCAGTTGTGTGTCCAGAAGCATCTCCTTCCCTTGGAGCAGCCAGCAACTCAGTGCTCCTGAAGGCTGGGCACGGCCAGATAACACACACAACGCTTGAGAAATGCCAGATGCCAAGGAAGTGAAAATTACAGGAATTGCGTTGCTGGGAGGAGCAGACAATCGAAAGCAATCGGCAGTGATTGCCCTGGCCACCTCCCTGCACCTTGCTCCTCGTTTAGGCTCATTTGCAGTTCATTTGCAGACAACAGTGAGGGCCACACTAGAGGACAGGCACATCGATACTTAGAAATGAAAAGTAGATGTGTGCGGAGCCTTGAGGAGAGGCCGGGAGCCCGGGAAAGAGAAGCAAGAGACAGCAGTAGTACAGAAGTGAAAGAATCTCCTCACACAGCTGGAGCAAGCAGTTTGTGCAGCTCTGGAAATATCCTTAGGAAAATATATTTTTTTTCCCTACACTGTTTAAAAGGGCAGAAAGGATATGTTGTCCCTTGCTGCTTGGCTCATAAGGATATTCTCCCAGGAGAACCATTCTTTATAACCAAGAGAGACTGCCTCCCAGATACCTCACAATCACAGATGAAAGCAGAGGTCAAAACCGGCTTGAACCATGCAGATCACGTTCTGTGATCAGGTTTTGTGGGCAAGACTGGGGCAAAGCCAGGTCAGACTGGAATATGTGTCTCCTAGGACCAGCAAACACCAGAATGGCTTGGTTTGCCCAGAATGGCCGAACACAGCGCAGGTAGGAGGCCTTCCAACTCACAGTCAGCCATGCAGAGGAAGGACACGTTGACTGATGATGCCAAGAATATTGTTTAGGTTTTGGAGAGGATGTTGTTGCAAACCCGTGTCCCAGTCTCACCACTGGCTGCTTGGTTTTGTTCTGAGTTGTAGTAATACGTCTGAGACGTTACCAGTGACTGGATCTAGCAATTCTGCTGGCATTACACAGAGCCCCACCCAGCCTGAAGGATCCAGACTTCAGCAGCTTTGCAGCAGAAATATTGGCTCCGTATCTGTGTGGGCATAGGTCACATATACATCACGGTAGGACCTTCTGCATCTGCAGCTAAAACAAAGTTTAGCATTTTATAGCCAGGAGAAAATACAAAGGTCGCAGCGTGGATGGAGCTCTCTCACTGTGTGCAACACTGCAAGCGTTGGTAGGACTCTGTTGCATCCTCCAGTGAAGAGCATGAGCCTGCAGTGCCCTCCACAGCAAATCCCAGTCAAGGTAGCAGTAGCTTTTTTCTCTGAATGTAAACCAGGAAGCATGGGAAAACCAGAACCCTAAGGAAAGCAAAAGTGAAAGTGAAAAATCTGGGAGAAAATCCACCATAAGCTCAAGGAGCAGAAGTAGAGCCTGTAAAGACAAACTTATCTAGAGCTGGAGTCAGTTGTCTCTCTCAGTCTTTAAGGGACAAATTCCAGAGAAAAGCACCTTGGAAAAAGCCTGTGTAGCCTGACTGGCTCAAAGCATAGCCTGTGCAAGGAATCAGCAGCTCTGTTGAACTAATGGTTAGAGTGAAGCCTATTGGTGTGAGATCTAGCAGAGAGGGATGGTGTAAGACACAATAAAATTGTTCCTGGAGATGTATTCGGCATGAATATGCAGAAACCCAGCTCTGTGGCTAGAATAACCAGCATCATTCCCTATGTCCTTTCCTAAACATGTTCATCCTCATTCCAGAGCTACACAGGCAGGGAGGGCCAGTGCAATCACCCATTGCCTCAGCACTGCTTTTGTAGGGTGGTGGCACCCAGGCCAATGTGCTGACACCAGGCATCTCTGGCCACGGTGCTCCCCATGCTGGCACAGAAACTGGAGGCAGGAGGCTCACAAACCTCTGAGCAGATCATGGCAGGAGAAATCACAGTGCTATCTGCACCTATCCTGAGGACAGCTTGCTGAGACAAGACGGTATTTGGTTATCATCTCGCTAGTGCAAACCAGAGAGAGAAAATATGCACAGCACAGCACATTATAGACTTCACCCAAACACTCTTGAGGGCTATGATGATGGGCCAAAACCTATCTGGAAATAGGCTGCTTCTCTGTGCCTGCAAGAAGGATATCTACAATTTCGGTCTATTTCCCTCATTTAAAAGCTTACTTCAGCAGCACTGCTTGTGGTAGTCTATGCTGAAAAGATTGCAGCTGATGCTCCTTGAAGATGGCAGCAGTCCTGAGCCATTGTTGGCAACAGAACCACTGGAAGGTGGGCTTCAGCCTTGTGTATAAAGTGGGGCTGCTGCCTGGTGTGGGATGAGGTGCAAGAGACCACCTGTATGGACTGGCTCGTGTTTCCAATAAATCAGACTCAGAGTACTTACTAATCTACTCTGTGACCTTTCAGGTTTCATCTGTTTCAATGCATGAGATAGTGCAGCAGCCTTTTGTGGAGCTGTGACTGATGGGCAAGGGGAAAGAATGTAGGCTGCAGCTAAATGCCTTAGCAGGGTACCTTGGAGCAAGAGTCTTGCTGGGTTCTGCTTCTCCTGTGCATTCCAGGAAAACACCACCAGCTCCCTCCATACCATGATGCTCCTTCCCAGCTGTGCTCCCGGCCAAAGTGAAAGCTCCGCCAGCCCACCAAGACGTGGGAGCTGACACAGCATGGCAGTGTACCTCCACTCATGCAAGGGAGCATGTGGAGGCATAGCCACCACATGGCATGTCACACTCTTTAGCCAGGTCACACCCTGCAGCAAAGAGGCTCCTCTGGGACCTCACCACCCCCAAACCACTGCTCCTCAGTCTGCCCAGCCTACATGCATGGGCTCCCTCCTTCTAAAAGTGGGGCTCTGGTTGCTGGCCCTGGATTAGACTCCTGTGCATGCAGGGCTGTTTTCTGGGCTCCAAGTTCTCCCATCCTGCTGCCTGTGTCTTCACCGTATCATGTCAGGCCTTAGGAGTGACTCAAATCCTATTTTGAAAACAAAGAGTTAAGCATTTTCAATCTTTATTTTACAAAAATAAACCAGTTTTGCCCTGACACTCTGTGGCCCCCAACCTTCCCCTCCATCCCTGCTCCCTTTCCTCTTCCTGGAGGTCTGGCTGTTGTGTGCCATGGCCAGCTGCTCTTATGGAGACTGCCAGTGCCACACACTCCTGTGAGTCTCCCCAGACAAGGACCAGAGAAGGGGGTTGGTGCCCTTTTGTGACTGCCTCTTCCTCCCAGAATCCAAGCTGGAAACTGTCCAAAGATGTTTCATGGTGGCTCTGCCATTTCTGCACAGGGAGCAAGTCTTAGGCAAATCACTCAGAATACATACTTTAAGAAGGAATGTCCATCTGTCCAATTCCTTCCCTTGGATGGGAAAGCAAGCCCCACAAAGTTACTTCTTGCTGTCAGTGGAGCTGGCAGGCTGCTCTCCTGCTGGCTGGCTCAGTGCTGGAAGCGTGGGGAGCTAATGTGGGGCTGGTGAAAAGAGTGTGTGGCATAAAGCACTTCTGGAGGCGGTGGAGGGGATGTCAGGATGGAGCAGAGCGGTTCATGGGAGCTCAGCACCGAGGTGAAGTGCTTCATTTCCTCTGTCAGCTGCTTGATCTCCCGGCGCAGGGCAGCATTCTGTCTCTCCAAGTCTTCACTCTCCTGAGGAGACAAAACCACAGGGGTTTCCTCAGCATGGGACCCACAGGGATGAGCTAGGGACATGAGGGCTGTGGTCCTTCAACTCTCTGCCCCACAGAATTTCCAGAACTACGTATTTCTGGTAAATTCATCACAGAGCCACGCCTGGGCAAACCCTGGCTGGCCAGGCCGCGTGTGGGTGCGATGCCGGCAGCCCCAGCCACGCTCCCCAGCCCCGGCTTACGAGAACTGACTGTGGCTTGCTCCCGCCCAGGCTTTCTCGCTCCCTCTCATGCACACACACATCTCCGGGTGCTTCCCGGGCAGCCCAGCCCCCGGGGAGAGCACGTTGAATAACCGCCGTCTTTAACCAGAAAACCACCTGCCACAGGAAACCTGTCATGGCCCTGGAAAGAAGAGACTCACTGCTTCCTGCTAGCAGCCGAGGAAAGCAGCAGCTCGATGGGGAGGAAGAAGAGACGCTTGAGTCAGAAGAAAAGAGAAACTAAGGCCGCAAAAGAACTGAATTAATACTGGTATGAATGAGAATAACAACAAAGGGGTTAATAATGATGTTCAGCCTTGTCTCAACAATACTGAGAGCACCAAAGCCTTTGATACCTCTGCTTCTGCTGAAATGCAGCCAGCTCTGGGCTGAAGCATTGCAGGCATCAACTGATCATGAAGCCAGCAGCCTGGGCAGGACCAGAGGATTGGAAACTCAGCCAAGAGTGCTAAAGCAAGACTCAGCACATGGAGGCTCTCTCTGGAAAACTGCACCACCACCTTGGCAAAGCAAACCTTCTGCTTGCCCCTCTGCTGCCATGCTGATTCCAGAGGGTGCCCAGCCTGTGCACAGGTTGAAATGCACCCAGCAATTACAGCTGCTGTCCCAGCAGGAACTCTCATAGCAAACAGCATCTCTCAGGCATGACCAAATGGTTTGGAAATCATGACTGTTGTTGAACTCAGGAACTGATGGGAATCACCCAGGGACCAGGAGTCCCAGCTTTCCTATGACTCATTCCCCTCAAAACACAAGCTATAAAGCCCTGGGGTAGATGGAGCTGGTGGCTCCTTTCATACCACCATAGCTAAAAAGGAGCCATGCTTTTCTGTGAAGAACCACATCAGAGAAACAAAGACCCTGATGCAGAATCGACCAAAGGAAAAGAGTGCTCAGGGAACAAACCCAGGAGCAGCAGGGGGTCACTGTCCACTGGAATTGAAAAAATAGCTAGCAAAAATTGACCATCCATCATCTACTTGTCTTCCTGCATTTTTTCATTTGCCTGTCAGGATTCAAACTGGACTTAGCCCCACTGCCCCATCCCAATGGGAAGGCAAGGACTGTGTGCTATCAATGCTAGCTGAGCAGCAGTAATCTCATAAGCAAGTGGTTTGTTATTTGCTCTAACAAAAGCCACCCAATCCTGCTTGGTGCACAGCTAGGCAGAATTTTCCTGGGGGAAGCTCAGAGCCCATACCTACCTCTAGGATTACTGTAGAGAGAGCAGTGACCCCAAGGAAAGGGTATTTTTTCACTTCTCTCAGATACAGCTGTCCAGAGCCATTGCTGCTGGCTGATGTCATGCAATCAGCCTAGAGTCATGTCAGCTCTATGAGGTTCATCAGCTACTGAGAAAAGAATGAAATCTCTGCCTTAAACTTAGCTCCAACCATGGACTAAAGGCACTAGGTAAGGAGGAAGGTTCAGAACTAGATTCTCAAGAATTATGTCCAATAATGGAAATATGGAGACTGCTAAATCAAAGGATGCTTTTTCAAACATGAGTTCAACTACCACTTTTCAAAAGACAGCCAAGCCCAGCATAGGGATAAAGATGGTTTCTGCCCCTGCAAGCTGCATGTTCTTCATCCTTCCCATCAGTGGCCCAAAATACATGGGACACACTTATCAATGTGCAAAATGCAGAGCATCCCAGCCCTTATACTCCAACAATGACAACATACAGCTACCCAAACACACACAGCCAGAAGTGACCATCCCTTCTGAAAGGCAAATATTAATTCTTCTCACTGGGAAGAGGTGTTGGGGGTGCCCACAGTGGCACAGAAAAATATCTTTGTATGCTGCTGCACCTCTGCATAAGTGGTGCCATGAATTTCAAACCTGGGGAGAGCCAAGCCAGGTGAGACTGTGCTTTCAAAGAGCTCAATCAGAAGAGGCTGGGAAAGGAAATTGCTAATGCAAGACTGAGAGATAAAGATGGATTCAAAACTAGCTGCAAAACTAAACGCTTCAGTGGCAGTCATCCTGGGCTGCGTGCTCTCACTGCAAGTGCTGAGTCCTACATCCTGCCCTGGCCTCAATTCTCCTGTCCTGCCTCCACTGAGCATCTCTGCTCTGAGTCCCAGGGGAAAATCACAGTTGTCTCCTATGAGTCCTCAGCACCAGGGATGAGAAAGGGTGGGAGTGCTCACCAAGTGCAGTGTGTCTGCCTTCTGGGTCTGCCTCAGGCGGCTCTTCTGGGCAGCAATGCGATTCTTCTCCCTCCTTTGGACTTTCCTCATGTCATCAGAAGAGTCCTAGGGAAACAAGGCATGGAAATGACTGGGTAATTCTCTTCCTCACCCTTCTCCTGCAGGGCAGTAGTTGAGAAAGGGTCACAGCAGATAACATCGTTGAAGCACAGGACACACCCTCCACACCAGTGTAAAGGTGTAGCCCAGGGGATGTGTGATGCCTTTAGTACCCCTGTTGCCAGGAGGGACACATCTGACATCCTTGGGGATCCCAGCACAGCTGGGAAATGACCACTCTCTCTTCACCAACACACTGGCCTGGGATATAGTTTGATGGACCAGAGTAAGGACCTCCCTCTGGGGAAAAAGATAAATTGAATTCTTCTACAGAAAACCATTTCTTTTCTGGTCTCTCTGCAGGGCAATGGCACTGCAGATATTCCAGCTCCTTGGATATACCATTTTTCCAGATATTCAGCATGTGTTTTCCTCTTTTCACCCCTGTAGGTCCCTCCCTTCTCCATCACCCTTCTGTCTCAGGCTTTATTTGTTGCATACCCTCACAACACAATATAGCCCCTGCTTTGTTTAACTAAACAGACTCAGAGCTTTTGTTTTCAACACAGATCTTATCTGCTCCACCTCTCTTATCTCTGTCCTTGATCTTTTCTGGAATTCCTTAGCAATGCCTGCAATGCTGACTGCATCACTCCCAAGCCCCTTAGGCAGGGGAGAACAGAGGTCTCCAGGCTTCATGTCATGAGCTTCATGCACCAGCCATTCTCTGCTGAGATCTGGTCCTTCTGCTGCCTTCTGACAGTTGCAACTGTCACACAGACTTTCATCTTCTATTTTCATTTTGCACTGCCCCTCTTGTGGACTCCTTAACATTCACATCACCACTTCACAAGACTACAAAACCCAGCCACAAAAGTTATCTTTCCAGCCCATTTATCTGTCCACATCCTCTCCCCCCTCCCCCAAACCCAAGAAATTTTTTCTTTGAACTTAACCGTTTTATCCCTGCCTTCAATACCCTGAAAATGTCTCAGATATAGCAGCTGCCATATCCTGCATCAAGTCCAGTCCCTATCCTTTGGAAAACCTTGTGCTTTATCCCTGTCTCTACCAGGATGCAAGCCAAGATGCATTCCCATTCTGGTTTGGAAGCCAAAAATCATCTGCCTTGATAAACCTCAAGATTTCTGAGCAAAGTCTCAGGCACTTGCTCTTGTTGCCAGCCCTAGGGAAATGGTAGATGACAGCTAAAATAAAGTTTAGCCAGAAAAGGCAGTGAGAATACCTCAGACTCATGTCTGTATCTGCCAGGAAAAGATCTACCATCAAGGTATGCCATGCAAGAAAACAATATCCCTCTGTGAAGCATCACTGACATGTAAAACTGCTGAGGCTGAACAGTAAAGAAAGCAGATCCAAAGTAGCAGGGCTTTTCTGGGTCCCGAGTTCTGTCCACAGAAGCAGGAAGCAGGCAGGTTGCCCCTGAGCTGCTGTGGTCCATGGCCAGGAGGTGCATGCTCAGGCTCTTCACCAGAGCACCAAATCACACCAAAACTTCCTGCCTGCCTGGCATGTATCACAGGGTCCACCATGCCTGGGGGTCCTGGGCCCCCAGCTGCCCCTGGTATAGCCCCAGGGAACCAGGTCATGTCTCTCTGCCCGTGCCCAGCTTAGTGGCTGGAGCTTCTGCCAGGGCCCTTGGCTGAGCCCTGCATCTCTCTCCCCACAGCCATTCTTAGAAAGCTCTGCGATATTGCACTGTGAAAGCACAGACAGTGGATGCCACCCTACCTCCTGCCCACCCGTGGCCCACCCTGAAGTAGCTGCAGAGAGCTGGGGAAGGGCCCCTGCTTTACCTGCTTGCTGGGAGGGGGAGACTGGCTGAAGCTGCTGGAATCACTGCTGTCAGAGCTGTGGGGCATGGCTGTTGTTTCTGGCTCCCAGGGTCTCTTCAGCTTCCTTTGTGCTCTTGGTGTGACTACTTTTTGTCTTGCTTCTCTGCCTCTCCTCTGCCCTCCTCTGTCACCTCTGATGTGACCCTTGGCTTCCTACTCTTACTTGTCCCAGAAGCTCCTGTCCTCCTGCCCAGCAGTCCAGCACTTTCGCTGCCTCTCCTCTCAGAGCTTCTGCACCTTCCCTTTAGGTCTCAGCCTCCTGTGGTTTCTCAGAAACTCAGGGATGTAAGCTGAAAGTCACGTGGCCGGAAACTTTAAGGCAAAGAAGTAAAATTACAGAAGAAAAAAAAAATTAAAACCAATTTTAAAAAAAGAAGAAGAAAAAAAAGCACATCTGGGAAAAATGAGCTTCAAAATAGCCTGAAAAACCCCCAAAAAACACCTTCAGGCACTTGAAAAACAACACGATGGGTTTTCTCTGAGACAAAAAGCAGAGATGGAAAGGAAGAAAAGCCCCGGCTCTGGCTGTGAAACTTGGACCCTCAAAGGAGTGCTGTGTGGAGGAGGTGACGCTGGGAGCCCCAGAAATTCCAGGGGTACTGTCCCATGCTAACCCCATGCAGGCAGGAGGTCAGTTCAGCCCCAGGCGACCTCAGTCACCCTGGCGCAGCTGAGGAAATTCCCAAGCAGCCACACATCTCCCCACAACCCACCCACCCCCTCCTGCCGCCCCCGACACCACTGATGTGGGGAGGGGACGGGTACCCTCAGCAGCTGCCACATAAACACTGCTTGTGCAGGTGGTTCACGTGGGCACGATGTAGCACCAGTCCCATTTAAGAAGAAAGGCTCAAGATCATTTGGACTGGGCTGGGTAGGACTAGTATTTTCTATAAAGCAAAGCTATTTAGCACTTTCAAACATTCGTTAGTATGTCACCACTGGCCATAAGGGAATAGCAGCCCTGGCAAAGTGCTGTAAATGTAAGAATCTGTGGATCAGCACATGCAGACAGCAGCAACGAGAAGCTGCTTTGGATCCCCTTCCTTGTCTCCCAGTCTGTGCTCTCTGGGACTACTTCTATCCTTTGTCCAAACCTCAGAAGACTAAAGATGTGCAGTCAGTCCCTAGGACAGCAGTGCTTCAGGGGTACCCTCAGAGTACCCCATGCTAGTGGCTCTGGAGGTGACAATGCAAGAGTAGGAAGTGTCAAAGCAGGGACCGTTTGCTTTCTGATCTGATCATGTCACCAGATCCAGCAGGGTGAGCCAGGGCCACATGCCAACAGGCTCTCCATCCACAGACAGAAGCAGATGACTTTGGAGCTGCTAAGTTGTTGCATGTGCAATAAGGAGCAGATCAAAACCAAGAACCGTGTGGGGCTCGCTGCAGGCTGCATGGCTCAGGGAAATCTCCTGACTTAGCTCCAGCAGCAAAACTACTCCATTTGTCACATTTCCCTTTTTAGAAACATCCTGTGGCAAAGGTGTTCTACTCTTAGCCCTTTTATCTGAACATTTCACAGCACTGAGTGTATTTTTCCTCCTGGTGTGCTGTATGGAAATGCCAGGATCCACCACACTTTTTAACATGGCTCCAAAAGTTTGCTTGGCATGACCCACACTGAGGGGCCCAATTTCCTGGAAGTGCAGCCCCCTTGTAGCACACAGGGCTCTTCTGGTGCAGCTGGCTCCAGACATGGAGTAGCCAAAGGGATGGGTGAGGTGAGAGGTGTTGAGTTCAGGCCTCCCAAGGCACTGGCTAGCAGAACAACCCTTGAAGGGTCCCTTAGCTCACTGCATCACTACACTTCCTCTGAACTCTGCAACCCTGTGTGGCGTTTCCTTTCCAGGAAGCACGCTGCTGGATTCCCACTCTCCCCAGGAAACCACACTCCTCTGCTGGTGAGCAGGTCTCAGAGACTGCCTGGCCTGTCCTGCTCTGCAGGCTGCTGGATGGAGGGAGCTCCTTCATCAGAGAAAAAGATCCTTGATCCATTCCATTGACAAATTATCTGAACTCTTCCATTTTGTAGCTAGCAGGGCCAGCGTCTGGGAGGCAGTTGGGAAGGTGGTAGGGCTGTTGGCAGAAGGTAGCAAGGGAAGCTGAGTGTCCTGGCAGGAGGAGCTGGACAGCCAGTGCAAAACTGTCCAGAATGTGGCTATGGCAAAGGCTGTTCTTTGATCCACAGGAGGAAGGTTTTGACTGTGCCTTGATTTGCCTAAAGGTGGGCTTTTATGAACAGCTGATGAAGATACCTTAGGAGAGAGCAACAACATGGGAGAGGGTTTGATCAGGAATAAGATTTCCTTGCCTTGTCCAAACACCATTTTCTCTTGAACTGGCCATGATGTTAATGAATTCCTGCCATTTATGAAAAAATAAGCATCTGTAAGTGAGACAAGTGTCTTCTGGTAGGAAGATGGGCAGAGCCTTCACACTGTTTCTCTGGGCTGGGCTGGACCCATGTTGTCTCCTTAGAGGCAGTGAGAGCCCTCTGCCATTTCTCTGGTCAGAGATGTGATCCCCCTACCCAGAGCAGCAGAAAACAACAGTATGGCTCCACCAGCATTTGCTCACAGCTTTGTGGGAACTGACCTGGGCACCTGCTGCAGGCACAACATGGGGAGCTGATTTCCTGCTGCCCCTGCCCAGGCTCCCCCTTCTATGAGGGGGAGCTTCAGGAGTCAGTCTCCTAATCTCTTTGCTTGACTTGGGTGACTAATTTACACTGTGAATAACATTCCCTCAGTTTCTCTCTGGGATTATTTCGTTTTCTTTGACCTTAATCACAGGAGTTGTGAAATCACTGTCGGTGGCACTGGAAAAACTCACCAATGTTAGGCTACTGCCATACCAGCAGCTTGATGGTTCCAGAAGTTTTTAGGGGAAGGACAGGACCAACCTTGTACTTGTCCCTTGTAAATTACAACAGGCAATGCTGAAGGGAGTCTTATTCTCCCAGGACAGAGTGGCTGCAGTGTGGAAACCCAGGGTACTGGGAATATTTCTCTGTCTACTCTGGGGTGTCCTGACCCCCAGGGGAGCACTGACTTTGGCCCTCATTCATGGAGAAAACTTCCAAAGACTCAAGGTAAACTAGAAACCATAAAAGTGTGAAATAGATTGTAGAGATTGTAAATAGTACTGTAGTATGCCACATGGGTGAAAAATGTAGGTTTTAGGATTTTTAGCATGTTATAGATGGATACAAGATGGAGGGTACAGGGTGTTGTCTCAAGTTCCTTTCTTCTTTCTTCTTCTTTCTTCTTCCTTCTTCTTCCTTCTTCTTCCTTCTTCTTGGGTTTTGGTGGTATCTTGGGTTGGGTAGAAAAATCCACATTGCAGGTCTTTAGGGGTCAGTTATAAGGTTGGAAAGGAAAATAATTTAAATGTCACTTCTTAATTGGGTAGCTTAGTTTTTGATTAGACTTAAAAGGCCTTGTAACAAGAGATTGTTGGCAAATTTTGTGCTGTTTTTCCTTCACGCAGAGTCTGGTGCAGACAGTGTGCTGAAGTTTTGATAAGATAAACAGAAGCTGAAGACCAAAGAAGTTCAATGTGTCTCTCACTCCTGACACAGAACTGCTCCAGGAGGGTCTCTCCTGCCAGGGGAGCCCCCAGAGAGTTGCCCAACTTAGGGCCCGCAAATTCACAACTGGTGCCCCTGCGCCAATGAAACTGAACTCTGAAGAAATCATCCCACGGAATCTCTGGAACGGAGCCAGATCCATCAAAATTCCTCTGGAGGTGAAAGGACTCAGCTATTCAACATCTGTATTCCTTGTCTGCAGAAACTCAGAAGCCTGGGCTCAGTGTGATCTTGACTGTGGAGAAATGGTTTGAAAGCAGTAAGATGCAGTTCAGCAAGGACAAATGCAAATGTCAAGCAAAGCGAGCTGTAGGTAGAAGATCTGGGGAATAACCAAAGAGAAAGCAGAATAGCAGGCAAAAATGCAGGGGTTGCAGAAAACTGAAGCTTTGCCAGCAGCAAAGGGGTCAGGCATTGACTTGGAGTTCTGGGGCAAGGCAGAGGAGACATCTGCCTTGTGCTGCCTATGCAGGACCCTTTCAGAGTCCTAGGCCGAGAAGTGCAGTAGTCTGGAAGAAAACAATACAAAGGATAAACACACAAAAATATTGCCCTAAGAGAAAGGAGTGAAGCTGTGCCCATTTAGCCTAGAAAAGAGAAGTCTTGGGGGTGGGAAGTGGGTGGTGAGGAAGGAACAGTCTTTCATATGTTGTAATGGAAAGGGTGGCCAGCTGGTTTCTGTGCAGCCAAAGCAGGATAAGAAGCAACAGGCTCCAACTGCAGCAGGAAAAGTGAAGGTCTGGTATTTGAAGCAAGATGAGGTTAGGGAGACCTTGGGATGGTCAATTCAGGAAAGTTATTTTATATGAAGTGGCTTTATACGAAGTGACTGGGAAGAGACCTCTCTCTCAAAAGAAATCCAAGTTGAATCCTGCCTCTGTGGGATGGATTATGTTATGAGTTATGTTCCCAGGGTTTAAATAAGGAAAAAGGGAAAAAAAAAAAAAAAAGGAAAAAAAAAAAAGGGAAAAAAAAAAAAAAGGTGTTACAAGGATGGGTTCCTGAGAACCAAGAGAGCACATGGGGTATTTTTCAACCGCTCTGCTTCAAATTCTCTTTCCCTATGTCCCACTTGTGCAACCAGCTTCCTCAGCTGGAGTTTCCTTGTAAACCTGCTGCTCCAGAGCTCTTGCCTGCAGCAGGCTTATAACAGCAACATTCAAACCAGCATCTCAGCCCATCCACCTCACTCATATCAGTTGCACAGCCATTCAGTGCACAGTGCTATTTTAAAATCCAGCCTAGAGCAGTTACCAACTTCAGCCTCCTGTAAACCACCGAGGTTGTTTCTGCTTCACATGTAGCATTTTATGCAAATAATTTCTTACAATACTTGGACAACTGCAATGACTTGTTTATAATTCCTCACACGAGTTTGAAGACTTTTGCAGAAATCAGTGCTGAGAATGGCCATGTTGAACAAAGTCCCTGCTCCCTACCAGATGCTTATCCCATATTCCGCTCTGCCCTGTTGTCCTGTCTGCAACGTGTGCAGCTTCCCCAGTCTCTGTGACCAGGGCTATTTCATCTTGACTGAGCTGAGTGTGAGAGTGAGGTTGTGCCAGGAGAGCTGAAGCATAGTTCCACTAAATTCATCCCACTAGGCACAGAGCAAACACCAACACTTTCAGTCGTTACTGGATACAACCAGCCAAAGTACAAGTAACAGGTACTTTACACCCGGAATGTCTGATAAATGACAACGGCTGTAAGTCAAGCACTCAAAATTATGGAAATCCCATAACTGAATCCCTAAAGCACACTGTATTTATGCCCTCATGCTGTGTAACATGCTGTGCTCTGTAGCTGAATGATCCACTAGAGTTTATTCCCTGGGATGGCCATGTTACCTTCATCTTGTCCTGCAGTCAGCACGCTCCAACATCCTGCTTTTCCATTTCTTCATGGACTCTTTCTAATGCTCGGCACTTCAGCACTGAGTGAGTGCTTCAGGGTTACTAATGAAGCTGTTTTCTCAGGCACCTTTTCAGATCCAGAGCTATGATGAGGGGATGGAGTTATACCTATTTAACAGGTGCAAATAAGAGACAAAGGAGATTTAGGTCATAAGCACTCATTCATTTTGAATACACATTTTGAACCAAATAGGATCTCAATTTTTTGATGGTTTTGGCACTATACAGCACTTAGTTTAGTCAAACCCCATATCCCGGTGTCTGTGACTGCATCTGCAAATCTTTAGCACTTCTGTAAAGCAGCTTGGGAAATGAGGAAGACGTGGCTGCTCCTATGAATGCTCTTGCTTATGTGGCTCACCAACTCACGGAGTAACTTCAAGGCAGGGGTAGACACAGACCGAGCTCTCCAGGGAGGCATCAGCTGTCTACCCAGGAGAACCACCTTTCTTTCTGCAGTCTCTTGCTTCACCAACTTGATAGGGCTTCCCCAGCCCTGCTAAGAAAGGAGGCAGCCTAGCTGTCCAGCTTATTGCTCCCTCCAGCTAAGGTCCAGCCTGGGTGCTGAAGAGGTAGCAATCCAAGGCAAAATGCAGGAAGTGATCATATGCACAAGACAGCTGAAGCTAGGCTGCCCAGGCAAACCCATTTCTGGCAATTTCTAGGTTTTTGGTACTTGGCTTTGCCACTTTTGTGCGGGGATTTTTTGACTGTCATTAGTAATGTTTTTTGTTTGGGTTGCTTTTTTTTTTTTTTTTGTCCATATTTTAATAGAAGGAAACTGTAGAAATAAAATTACAAAGGTGCTAGCTTTCCAGATATGGACACCAAGCTCCAGGTAGATGGGTCCATTTGACCCCACTGGAGAGGAAGAGCAAGCTTGGCTAGAGCTGAAGTGTTGACAGGAGGTTTGCAGGGTCAGACCTCCTGCACAAATGAGAGTTTCAGTCTCAAGACACTGATTATTAGAGTTCACTCCAGGCTATTTTGATGGGATGAACCACATTCTCCTTCTCCTGTCCTGTACAGATCAACTGGTTGTGTGTTTAGTTGAGCAACCTCTGATCTGTTCCTGGCAAGGACTTAGCAGCTCATAAGCAAGTACTCTTACATGTTCACTTACAAGAATCTCCAGGTCAGCAGATCTCAAACCCTGGTAGAGTACATCCATTCAAGGCCAAACTTCCTCTCACTGCTGTCTTCACAGGCCTTGTCTACCTTCTGGGATCAGTCAAAAATGAACCAGATCACCCAGCTGCGCTTGGGACACTGAAAAGGTTCAGCTACCAGACGCCCCCCCAGTCAACCAGGGTTTCTTTGCTTCCGCTGCCTGGGCTGAGCCCACCAGTTGAACTATCCAAGCGCATGGACGTGTGTGGAGGGCGCAGATGTTGTCTGGCGGTTTGACTCATCTCGGTGGCAGTCTTGTTCGGTGATGATGGGGAAGGCCCAAAGAGGAAGGGCAGTGACCCGTTTAACCAGAAGGGCTGATCCACCCAGGGGTAGACTAACTGGTGATGGCAAGGGGCCATGGCCCCAGCTTCCTTTGTGCTTCCCAGTGTGTGCACTTCCAGGCAATACAAAAGCAGGAGAGGCACATGTGGCTGTTCAGCCCAGCCACGTTGGCAACAGGACTCAACCTTGGGACTCTGCTACTGCTGCAGTGAATCCAACTGCAGCAACCAAGTAGCAAATATTGTACTCCCAGGGGACGAACAACGCCTGATGGAGAATTTGATGTTTACAGGGCTTTGGTTGAAGCCATGATCCATGGCATGGGGGTGGATGGTGTTTCTTAATTAATATATGACTCTTGAGTGTACTACGTTGCTGCTTCATTCAGAGGAAAATGTCCTTCAACACCACCCATCACCACAAAAGACATTCAAAACTCCCAAGGATTGAGTACAGCTTATTTAGGGTGTATTCTTGCAGACAGACTCTGAGACACCTACCTCAGCAGGAGATGGCTGTGAACAACATTCATGCTAGTACTGTACTTTCACCCCAATGGGATCTGCTTCACTTTTGGATTACAGGGGTGTGTACACCAGTTTTCCATTTTCTCCACCCCATTTGGTAGGAACAAGAGCTTGCCAAATCCTTCAGCTCACATAGCATTCTTGGAGGAGGTGTTCAGCACAAGTAGCTGTGCTGATGGGCTCACATGCAGTGAGCTTGTGCCCAGGCATGTGTGGTGCTTGTACAAGTGGTGCTGGAGCCCAGCACATCAGAAGCAGCGTGGGGGAGGACAGGGAGCATGGGGCAGAGTGACTGTGCAGGAGGGGACAGAGGAGCTGTGCAGAAGGTACACTTGGTGCCTGTGCAAGTAGCGCTGAATGGCAGAACCACACTGGCAGAGTTACCAAAATACACGAATGGGTATCAGCCCCATTGGCCTCGACAGTGCACTGGCACATGCTGTCACACCCTGGCACACACAGCTCTCTCCTGCTGCCAGCTCTCTGGGAGACAACCCAGAGTCCCAGAGCAGGTTGCTGAGGGAGGCAGTGGCAGGGCTGAGCCCCTGACCCAAACCTAGTCCATTCCCCAGAGCCTTCAGTTAGGGATCTTCAATGCCTTTTTGAGAAAAACACAAGGAAGGAGGCCTATGGTCAAACTCCCAAACATCGAGGGAGGACTTACTTAGTGCTGGCTATTTCAGAGGGCTTGTAAAGTCCCACAAGTTTCCCCAGGGGGCTCAGAGCAATAGATGGAGGGAGGGAGAGGGAGCAGTTTCAGAGGATCACCAATCCTGTGCTTTCCACCCTTGTATTTTGGAACCCTGGCAAGAGAGGTGTGCTGTAATCAGCCTCCCAGGACACGGCTACTTTTCCTACAGCTTTGTATGTGGCTGCCAACACCAGTGCCCAGACACAGGTGACCCGCAGCCTTCCATGGCACTTTATCCTTCATGGTGCTTCGGAGGTGGGACAAGGGAGATGTGCTACACCCTAAGCCATGCCAGCAGTGATAGTGCAAGGCCGTGATTTGAACACTTGGTCCTCCTGGTGTCATGAATAATGCCAAAATTGGTTTCAAAGAAGGGACAGGAAAATAAAAACTCCTTGCCACCATTCTTTACCTGAACCCCAAAGTAGATGTCCAAGAATTATGCCATCTTTTATCTTACTTAAGCCAACATTTTTTACTTCAGTTTTGGGTATCCTTGTTTTTCATATCAATACCTGATCCTTTGTGAGCCATCTGAAACTGTTGGCTAGCAGGGCATCTTGTCCACCTGCAGAAACCAGTTTGCTGGCTCTGTGAGAAGTGTGTCAGTTTATCAGTGTGAAATGAGTTGTCTTTCCATTTCTTTGAACATCTTGTGAGGGGGTGAGCAGAGGAACAGACTTATCTCTAAGCCAGGAATTGCTCTGCACATCTCTATCATGCGGCATTTCACTAGTTTCCGCTCCGAACTAGTGGGACTTTTAGCCCCTGCATAGGGAAATTTTCCTGTAGCCCTAATTTGGGTCAGCACCCATCTTTGGATGTCTACTGATTTCACAGCAGGGAAGACAGAAGCAAATACCGTAGCCCAAGGAAGCTTCCTCCCATCTACCATGGCATTACAGTTATGGAGGATGGATGTACACTCTTCATCCCATTCCTCATGCAGCCTTTCTCCTTTCCCCCATGCTGCACAGTGAGAGGGACCTACCAGGTAGCTCTATATTGAATTTGGAGCATAGCCTTGAGCCCTTTGACACTCACATCTAAACCACCCAGGTTTAGACACTTAGGCACACTCCAGAGCATGGCTGGGAGAAATGCAGAGCTGCTGCTATCCCAGCATGCGAACTCAGCTGCCAAGCAGTGTGGGACCTTGCAGCCACAGCAGATAGTTGCTGTCAGATGAAGAAATGTGCTGCTCCAAAGCCCTGCCTGAATGAGGCTCTATGTCACACAGGGTACACACTGGCTGCTTGCATTGCACCTAAGACTTGCACACGTGATCCAGCAACCTGCAGGTTTTCAACAGACAGCAGAACAGGTGCCTACATCCACTTTGCAGACACTGAGAACACCTTGCACCTGCAGCTGAGGGGGTTTGTTTGGACCAATGAGTCTGGCTTTGCCAGCCTGTTACACTGGCTGCATGGGGTGCCATCATGCTGCCTGGTTATACAGCAGTGCCAGCATGCACCAGCACCTGACTACCTTAGCCACTCATCCATTACCTGCTGTCTGGAGCTAGAGAGTGAATCAGGTCACTGCCTCCAGGGAAGGTCTGCACAGAAGAAAAGGGATGCCTCACTTGGCAAACACCTGCAAAATGCAGCAGTGCCTCTGCTTGGCACCCACCGAGTTTGCCTCTGTCACAGAAGTCAGTAGCCCAGTACTGAGAGGCACTTGCCAATATCCACACATTAGCTCTAGTGCAAACCCCCTCTTGCTGCTTTGTCTGGTCACAAGTGTTCAGCACCACCTTGAGATGAGCTGTCAATAGCCATTTTATCCTCAGCCAGAAACTGTTAGCCTGCTAGTGGCTCCATTGGATTTGGGAGCCCACAGGCCTGCAGCACAGCCTTGCTGCCCAGTTCTTTCTGACAACCCCACGACATTTCAGCACAAGCAGGTATCTAGCAAATCCAACCAGCCCAGAGGATGCTGTTGGAATTGGGGCCATGGCAAAGCAGAGGCAGGAACTGCAGTGTCAGGAGTCAGGACTTCCCCTGATGGTGTCACAGATGACAACTCAGCAAGTTCATTCTGCAGAAACTAGATAACATCAGCACAAGGTGGTGGTTACTGGCAAACGATCCTGTTCCTGAAGCTTCATCTGAGACATGACAGGCTGCAGAGAAATCCTTTTGTCAAGCAGACCCAAACTCTGCTTTTGCTGAAACCCACGTGGGCTTCTGGAAGTAGCTTCATGCTGGTATTTCCTAGGAGATCCAGGTCACAATGCTGGGAGCCAGGGCTGGAGAAGTCCATCACCTTGCTAACACAGGGCTTTTTTGTCTGGCAGAGTCCCTTGAACTAGACAAGGATGCAGAGCTATCAGTCTTACCCGCAAGTGACCCACCTCCTGCCTTGAGCAGCAAAAGCTTTTCCTTCTCCTCAGGGCCTAACCTTTCTCCAATCCCCATGGCACTCCACTTGAACTCTGCACAAGCATAGCAGGACACAGGACCGGAGAGAAGAAAATCTTTCCTTCCTTCCTTCTTGGAAGTGGCTGAAGTTCAATAAACCTCTTGGCAGATGTTCTTAATCAGCATTAAGGCCATCCTAGTACAACTGGGCTGACTGCCTGCCCCCTGGGTAGGCTTTGCTCACAAACAAATTTTCAGCCCAGGCAGGCATACCACCGCCTGCTCTACCAAATATGTCCCTGGGCTGAAGTCTACTTGAGTTGGTCACTCCACTTAAAAAAAAACACAACAAAGAAAACCCACTTTAACTCCACGGCAAGGCATCTGGAGAAGGGTTTTTCACCACCAAATTAGCCCATCACCTTAGCTATTTGTGAATAACTTCTTGCTGACCCTGACAGACAAAACCAAAGGCTCAGTATCATTAAACTCTTCTCATCCCACAATCACATGCTGCATCTTCAGCCTAAACTCAGCCCCAGGTGATGCATGAGCTGCAAAGCCTGGCCTTTGTGAGCTGATCTGTGTCTCCCTGCCAGCCTCAGCTCCAGTTCCTTCACCACCTTCTCTCTAAGTGTATGGTGAGGAGCTGAAATATCTGTGCTGGGCAGGAGACCCAGCTGCATGCAGGCAGAACCATTGAGGCCGTCATGGGTGCTGAGGCTTGGGGAAGCATCACAGGCACTGGATGTGCCTGGAATTACAACTCGGTTGCAGTGGAGGAGTCAGCCTGAGCTGATAGGTGCTCCCAAGGCTTCCTCTCCTGGGGATTCAGATGCAGAGAAAAGGCAAACTCCAGCCATTATGTTATGGGTGCCAGCTCTTCCTAGTGGCCTTGACCAACAAGACCTCCTGGCTGCATGGCAGGATCTTTTCCTCATATGGGAAGTGTTGCTGACAGAGCTGCTGACAGCAAGCTCCCTGCCCATGGGGCTGGCTACACCTCTGACAGCAGCTGCCCTGCCTGCCTCCATCACCCACCTGGGAGATGACCCTGGCCACCCCACCAGCTGCATGGTGTGGGGAGACGCATGCGCCTAACCAGGGACAAGTGATCCGCCCAGCTCTGCCCATAGAGCAGTTTCCTCAGCCCAGCAGGAGCATGATGCCTCCTCAGGAACAGAGGATGCACATGGACCCATTCCCTTTGCTTGTGCTGGCCTCCCATCCCACCCTCTTACTCCCTCCCTCCCCCTGCCTCCACTTCAATTGACAGCAACCAGTGATCACAAATAAGCAAAAGGTCTGCAAAGCCACGGGGAGCCAGGTGATGCTTCCAGGCTCAGGGAAGCAGCAGCTGGTTTTTCTCATTTCTCTGTGAGCACCCTTGCAGCACAGTTCTCCCTGGCTCCTGTCCTGCACCCAGCAATGGGCCGTGCTGGAGCTAGTAGTGCTCAGCAGAGTCTGGCAGCCATGGTAATCAAAGCAGTTTCCATTACTCTTGGTAAATACCAAGGCTGGGGATTTTTGGGGCTTGTTTTCCTGCAAGTTGAGTAGAAGAACCAATAAGGACAAAGACAAATGAATACCTGTTGCCCTTGGCTCAAAATGAAACAAGAGAGACAGGTCACTGGCAAAGGTTAGTTAATACCACTTACCACAGAGTTAGGGAGTCGCCCTCAGCTGCTGACAAGAAGGGCAGAGGAGGCAATTTTTCATAGACAATGTGAGACCAATACTATGAAAACTGCAAAGTAATGACCCCCAAGCATCCTCTGCTGCAAGTCAAGGGAGG